CTATTAAGCTTTATAAGTTGCCTGAGTCGACGGTTACTAGTGGATTTAGGAGAATGGAGCTGAGGGATGTACCGGCGGTTACGCGGTTGCTTAGGAATTACTTGGGACAGTTTGTTGTTGCGCCTGATTTTGATGAAAATGATGTTGAGCATTGGCTTCTACCGCACGAAGATGTTGTGGATAGTTACTTGGTTGAGAGTCCTGAAAACCACGAGATCACTGATTTTTGTAGCTTTTACACATTACCTTCTTCTATCCTTGGGAATCAGAGTTACTCGACTTTGAAAGCTGCTTATTCTTACTATAATGTGGCTACTAAAACTCCACTGTCTCAGTTGATGAACGATGCGCTGATCGTGGCAAAGCAGAAGGATTTTGATGTTTTCAATGCCTTGGATGTAATGCATAACGAAGGTTTCCTTAAAGATCTCAAATTTGGACCTGGAGATGGACAGCTTCATTACTACTTGTACAATTATAGGATTCGTAATGCCATGAAACCGTCCGAACTCGGGCTTGTGCTCTTGTAGCCAGATATGTTTTTTTCTTCAGTTTTGTTATTTAATTTGGATAAACCATTCACTTGTTTTATTTTATTAGCTTGTTGTTTCAACTAAACACCATTTATTGTTCCATTGAAATATTGGCAATTTAACATAGTCTTGCAGGGTATGTGAAAGTTTATCTTTTGGTGAGTTTCTTATGCTAATATGCTTACATTGCAAAACTATGAAGTTGTTATAATCTGCTGCCTGTTTCCTTTTTGCTCGATTTTGATCTCGTATTTCGTTATTCATTATTGCTTTTATATGTTGGAAAAACTTTCCTACAAATTCTTACGTAATTGTTTCTGTTAATTTCTTGTTTGGCTGGATATGTTTTGTTCATTGCTCATGAATGTTGGTGGCCATTTCACTTTGGGTTTATCAGAATCTACTTTTAGTAGACTTCATCCTTAAGAAAGGGATAAGTTAGCATTTTATGCAAGGGATAGCTTTTTACGAAGATTAGAAACAAAATTAAAAACTTCCCTTCTAACTGTTTGGTTAAAAGAAACTGCACAGAGTTTGTTCTTGGGAAGATCTCCTTCTAAATGGAACTTTGAGTATCTAGTAGTTATATGATAGACTTGGGTATTATGGGGTGTCAATTCCGACATCAGGTTGTATGAGATGTTCGGTGGAGTATTTAAGTGATTGGTTCTTCCCTGTTAGTAGCTGCTTTTAGAACTTGTATCATCCAAGAAAAACCTTTAATTTGTTTTGTTTGAAATAACAGCACACATTTTGAGCTACTCAAGTAGGCATTAGGATCTTTGTTTAGTGCGGTCACGTCTTTGAGTGCTTAGTGAGTAATTTTCACTTTCTTTAGGAGCTTATGCTCTTACTGTTGACGTTTTCATGTACTCAAAATTTTCGTGTACTGATACTCAACATTGCATACCAATTGCATTAAAATATGAGGGTTGGTATTCCCACCCTAATGCATTATCACCCCCTCCTTATATGCTTTTTGCAGTGTTCGGAGATTGTAATTTGGACGGATCTATTTAACAACAAAAATAACTTTATTAGAGAGGTGCATTCATTCTCTCTAAAATTAATCTGGATATTGGTGAGTACGGATAACAAAATTATATATTAAATCTAAATGGTGGTAAGGATGTTACCACCAAACATCATTTGTTCTCAAATAATCAAATATCATTGTTCACAAAATATAAATCATAATACAAATTATCAAAATGTATGGCGAAAGTACAAAGAAAAAGTCAACTACTAGATATATTTGACCGATTCTTCTACTTCATTGATCAGAAGATGAAATGATGACATCTCAACGTGCCATCTCTCCATAAAAGCATACAAGAAACCATGGTTACAACCATTCTTGGTTGTGCATAAATCTTGTAGCCATTCCTAGTCTTGCATAAATCTTGTAGTTTAGATGCTTGTAGCCATTCCTAGTCTTGCATAAATCTTGTAGTTTAGATGCTTGCATGACATTTTGAAACCATGGTTCAACAAGTTGCGGCAACTTTGCAATCTTCCTACATGGTTGATACACTTAAAATATGACAATCTTGTAAAATAAGACACCAAGTCAAGAAGTTTAAATTTTATAACACATGTTTTAAAAAATAATTACATCTTTATGTTACATCTCCATCCCACACATGCCTAACATCGTAGTTTGGATAAAGAGAAAGCAATGAAAGGTCTGAGGAACGTCTTGGAAAAAAATGAGGAACGACAGTAGGAGGTTCAACTACACGGGCTTTCGGGGCTTTAAGGGCATCATGGACAATAATAGGGGACTTATTTCTCTAGGAAGACGATGTTGGAGACACATGAATTCGAAAAGACGATATTCTGTATCAAATGAAGTGACACTGATGACTGAACGAGAGAGTCTAGCTTTTTTCCTCCGAAAGGAAACATATTGAGCCACTCTAACATGTCTCAATCTTTCTTGGTTGTCATACATTTACCTATATTACATTCGAAAAATTATATCATAATCAAAGAAGGAAGCCTAGAGAACAAAACAGGAAAAATCAAACAAACGAAGCATAATAGGTAAATCCAGATTTTGTTGTTCGAACTCAGGTTTTGGGCAATCTCCAAACGAAACTAGAGAAGTAGAAACGCAAACAGATAAAATAGAGCATGCCCCAAGCTCTAAACTTGAAAAATTGTAAAAACATACATCACAAATCAATCTATTATGCTTTTAAATACAACTTAATGTGACATACACAATCTATTTAGATAATGCATTCATCACAAATAAATAAAATGTAAAAAAATAAAAAATTTATCAAATTGTGAGAAAGCTCAAAAAACGAGAAGCCACGATTGAATGGAGTATAGTAGAGATTGCCAATTTTGTTCTTTTATTTTACAATTTTGAATTATGTTAATTGACAATATTTTGTAGGTAACATGTGAAACAAGATGTTCTATCAAGTCGTGAGACATCTTGTCTCAAAGTGATTGTGTCGCTTTAGTGGAAAGTAACATGTCAACCAAAGTGTTCTACATTATGTGAGACATCTTGTCTCGAGTTGGTTTCTTGGCGCGCAAGGATGATTGAAATAGATCTCTCATTTTTTAAGTTTTGTTTCCTTTTCTGTCCAATCAGATATATGATTGTTTAAGCTCGTTTTGGTTTAGGAAAGACTTATTTTGAATCTATTTCATTAAGATTGTTTCGTATTCTTAAGAGATTCAAATTTATTCAAGATTTGTTTTAATCAAGATGTACAATCAACATTATGAAGATTGATTATGTTCATTTTTTAAGTTTCAGCCGCCCTCATGCCATAAACTCTACTAGACTTTCTAGTTGGACTATTGTTGCTACTTAGCTGGACTTTCTCCTTTGTGAAGATTCAAACATGTCACTACTAAACTTTGTGTGTTTAATTGTTATTGAGTCTCTGTTTTATTTACAGTACTTTATTCCTAGGTCATATCTAAGTTAGGAGAATAGAGCATTTGAGTTGTATTAGTGTTTCATTTTTATATATTTTTATAATTGTTCAAATATTTGGGAGAGTGTTTAAGAGCATCTCCAATGGTGCAACCCATTTTTAGGTTCTTTGTGAGACTCACCCTTTTAAAGCAACTCATTCAATTTTCACTCCAATGGTGCAACTCTAAAGAATCCATATTGGGTCCCACCACTTTACTTAAAAAATATTATTTATATTAAATTTATTTTATTTAAAATTATAATTTAAATATTTAAATTTTAATTAAAATGATAATTAAAATAATAAATAAAATTTTATATCAAATTATAGTTTTTATATTATAAAATTAATATTTTAATATAAGAACCATTGAAGAACCGTTGCATATTTAAGAACTTTTCCATCTTGAAAATAACAAATATGAGTGCCATGTTGGCAAACCCACTCTAAGAACTCCCATTGGAGTTGGTCTAAGTGAAAGTGAGAGGGACTTCAGATTCAGAGGAGCTCGGATTGAAATTCACAGTTAATATTAAGAAAAAAAATGCATTGAACTGAGAGACTTCAGATAAGACCAATTTATATTTATGACTATTAAGAGTGAGTTTCATTTTTATTGATTGATACCTTCGAACATTGGTAGTTGTGCACTTAATTGGATTAACATTTCTTGTTTTATTTATTTTCTACATTTATCCTTCCAATTTTATAATCTTGTTGTCATATGTATTGTTTAAACATTGTCATCTTACCATAAAAACATAATTCCAAATTCGTTAATCTTTCTATTTTATAATAATGCAAGACAATTCTCAAATATCACATCTACTAACCTTCTCCATGTCAAAGAAATCTAAGGATCTCATGATTGTTGAGTTTGATAAACTCAATTTTGCAAAAACATAATAATTCATGTAGTGATAAAATGTGAACTTCATTGTATTATACTTAATGAGTTACTCTCTTACAAAGTCATTGGCACTCATATTTATAGAAACCCTAGCGCTAGCATGCTACATTCATGCATGGAATTCTCATGTCACCATGTATCTCTACTACATACATATGTATGGTGTTCTACACTTACATTGCCGCTCAACTATATACAAATGTATGGTGTAACAAGAAAGTGGATCCATTTTTAATATCTTACCCTTCTATAGTTTGACATATATCCATCCCACCAAGTAGAAACAATTATTTAGCAGTAGCGGGCGGCACCCTTGTGTTTTAGGAGTCACCTTCCATTTACCACCAAATAATATTTTTAAATTCTCAAAATGCATGCACAAACAACTTCACAGTGCTCCAAAAGTTTTACAAGTAATTCACGTGCTTATCTTCAAAATCTTTTTAACTCATAGTGGTTTTGTTTTTGTCTTCATTCACAAACTCAAATAGAATATTTACATTTTTCGCAATTTCATAAGTAGGATGACACCACTCTTACACTACAAAATAAACCTTTGTTGCCTATAAATACAACCATTGTTAAGTGTGTGTCAAAAGCAACATAGTGAAAATGAATAAATCATTTAGAGCTATTACATGTTTTTGGCTTATGATGAGTTTCTTCATTTTGAGTGAGGCTGAACCTATGAAAACCCAACTGAGCCCAGACTTTTACAGAACAACATGCCCTGATCTTTGGACAATAGTTAGGCGAGAGGTTTCAAACGCAATGGAAGATGAGATTCGAATCGCGGCTTCTTTGCTTCGCCTTCATTTCCATGATTGCTTTGTAAATGTAAGTTAGAGACACTAGCACTTCATTTTTACCATCAGAAGTGTGCAAAGAGGACTACTTCACAAAACTCAAAATTTCTCAGTTAAACGGTGACTAAATAGAATTTCATAAAATGTTTGTCACGGTTAAACCGTGGTTAAATAATATTTATATTTATTTTGTCATAGTTAAACTGTGACTAATCTATACAGAGCCTCCAATTTTATTTTTACTTATAGGGTTGTGATGGTTCAATTCTGCTTGATGGAGACGAAGAAACTGAGAAATTTGCTACTCCTAACAAGAATTCTGCTAGAGGATTTGAAGTCATAGATAGAATCAAAACCTCAGTGGAGAGTTCATGTAGCGGAGTTGTGTCTTGTGCTGATATATTAGCCATAGTTGCAAGAGATTCTGTTTTCCTAGTATGTTCATTTCAAATTTCAATCATTAAATTTTCATAACTCACTGCAAAAATTAAAAAATTACCTTTGTTAATTTAATTGTCACATTTTGCAGAGTGGTGGTCCTTTTTGGTATGTTCCGCTAGGGCGCAGAGATGGATTTGTCTCGAACAAGACATTAGCCAATCTCGCAATTCCTTCTCCATTTGATACACTAGATAATATTACTTCCAAGTTCGATAACGTTGGTCTCAATCTCAAAGACGTTGTTACTTTATCAGGTATAATTTTGTACGAAATAGTTTATATTTAGACAGTGACACAAAGCGTCTTAAAGAAAGCAAATTTTTTACTTATGTGTGTTTTGAAATGTTTATAATCTTCTTTAGGTGCACACACTATTGGACGAGCAAGGTGCACATTTTTCAGCAACAGATTATTCAATTTCTCGGGGACAGAAGAACCAGACAATACTTTAGAATCTGAAATGCTCTTTGAATTGCAAAATTTGTGTATACAAGATGAAGATGGGAACGCGACTACGGTTCTGGATTCAAACTCATTTGATCAATTTGATAGCAATTACTTCAAGAATTTAGTAAATGGGAGGGGTCTTCTAAGCTCTGATCAGATTCTGTTTTCAAGTGATGAGGAGGTTACTTCAACTACTAAATATTTGGTCCAATTATATAGTGAGAATGAAAGAGAGTTTTTTATGGAATTTGCTTATGCTATGATTAAGATGGGGAATATTAATCCACTTATTGGTTCTGAGGGAGAGATTAGGAATAATTGCAGAGTGATTAATTCTTAATGGTGTTTATGTTGTTCTTTGCTAGCGACTCTTTGTTTTGATGTATTTTATAAGAATAAAGTTTGAAATAAAACTATTATCTAATATATATTTTACTGAGATTCTTTGTCTTAGATCATGCAAAATTAGCCATGAATTTAATCAAATGATATATTCTTCAATAAATTAAAAACCTTTCTTATAATTTCCAAATTAGGAACTATCTTGGAAAATAAATTAAAAACCTTTCTTATTTGTGAATGCGTGACTGGAAATTCTTTGTTTCAATTGCTTTGGTGTTTGTTTTTGATGCGCCAAGAAGCCATAGCAATTGGCACCAGAGTTCCTGCTGGTTACAATTCATGGAGAAAAGCCTAATCAAAGAAGATGAGGTGATTGGCCAGGAGGTGTGATCGTGTTAGCATCCGCGGAGGTGATTCAATCTAGAGTGAGCGTAAATTGAATCAGAGTTAGTTATGACAAAGTTTGTATTGTAGCGTGTAAAGATGTGGTCGTTGTTTGTGCATCAAGAACTGAACGACGCACTGGAATGAGAAGAAAAGCTTTCAGCCTCGCTTAGTGAGCAGTAGAAACGATAAATCATAAGCCAATCTCATAGTGTGATCATTCTGAGTTTAGCGGATAAGGTGCCACGTGAAGTTACAAATGAGGAAATAGTTGTTAGATTGTGGTTGAATTTCGAAAGTCTGTATTTGACAAAGACTCTAGTAAACCAGTTATATCTAAAACAACGTCGCTATACGTTGAAGATGTAGTCATGGACATCGATAGAAGAACACCTTGATGAATTTAATAGGATTATTTTCAATTTGGAGAATATAAAAATTAAATTGGATGATAAAGATCAAGCATTATTGTTGATCAGGTCTTTTACCAACTCTTATGATACTTTTGCAAATACTCTAATATATGGAAGAGATTATATATCTCCCATTACTAAAAATATGCATTTCATAACAAACTTTTCATCTCAAACAACGAAAATTTGAGGTTAAATGATCTGAAACGTGTCATTTTATTATTATAGTTTTAGAAAGTTTAATCTTATCCCTCAGTTTTGTAGAAAATTGACACCATATGTAGTTCAGAGTTTGAGTTTTGATTTCCAACTCTTGCAAATTTATGTTTTATTTAGAACCAAAATTTTGACTTTATTTTATAAATCATCTTATCACTCAACAAAATGTTAAGTTCCATTCACTTTTTACGCCCTGGCTAACGAAACGGCATTCTTCTCCACCTAACAAGCTGAAACACCATTTTCTGACCCTAACGAACTGAAACACAATTTTCTCCACCTAACAAACTGAAACACAATTTTCTCCGCCTAACAAAATGAAACATCATCTTCTCCACGGAGGAAGGAAATGCTCGAACCTCAAACAAACACTTTTCTTTAACTCTTTCATCACGTTTCCGGTATGCAAAAATTTCTCCATGTTAGTTGTTGTTGATGTATTTGTAGTAGTTGTTGTTTTTGTTTTTGTTGTTATTATCGTCGTCGTTGTTGTTGTTGTTATCGTAGTTTTTGAGACTTAAGGTATAATATAGTGTCATTTTTTAGGTATTTGTAGTTGTTATTGTTGTTTTATTTTGGAATTTCTACTTTTATTTACTTTCATAAGTTGTATGTGACTATGGATCATAGTTGAATGAGAGTCGATAGATTAAGTAAAGAGTATGAGAATGGAGTGATTCAATTTCTTGAATTAGTAGAAAAAATTTCCTAACGATAATGAGATTTTTTAGTGTCCTTGTAAAAAATTTCGAAATACGCAAAAACATCCAAGGGATGTTATATTCAATCATTTAGGTTGTGATGAAATTATTAAAAGTTACATGAAATAGGTATAAGATGATGAAGTGACAAAAAAAAGACCTACGTCATATAGAGTTGAAGATTATGAATTTATGAATGATACTCTAGAAGATATGATTCGTGATACTGGAGTAGAGACTTTTAAGAAAACTCGTGTGAAAGATACTTTACAAAGAAACCTCAAAGAGTCGTTATATCCGGGATGCAAATTTTTTACAAGATTGTCAAATGTGTTAAAACTATTTAATCTTAAGGCAAAAGGTGGGTGGGTGGGTAAAAGTTTCACTATTTCTTGAATTGTTGCAAGAAATGCTTCCAAAAGGTAACTCGTTGTCGAACCATAGTTATGAGGCCAATAAGATATTGTGCACAATAGGTCTGGACTATATCAAAAGACATGCATGTCGTAATGATTTCATATTAGATAGGAAAAAGTATGAAAACTTGAAGGAGTGCCCGGAGTATGGGGAGACACGCTACAAGAAGATGGACAATGATGTTGAAGATGATGATGGTTTAATTAGAAATGGTGTTCCCTCCAAGGTGATGTGGTACCTACCGATAATTCAAAATTTTAAGAGATTATTTGCTAATGTAAATGATGTGGAGGCAAATCGCCACATATCACACAAGTCTGCAAGACATTGGTTAATGTAGGTTTCAATGATGACAAATTCCCTGGATAGATTGGAAATTATGAATTCCAGATCTACTAAACCAGATGCAACGTATCACCCACCATATCCTTTTACGCTTGTCTTAAAACTTCTGAAATGAATATACTTTGTGTTGACAAAATGCAATCATGACCAAAGGCATGAAAGACTTCAAACTAATGAATTTTTGCAGGCTTGCAGGACATGGGTCGACCATAGGGTCGGCGTATGCATCAGAAAAAGTTTAAACCAGTCAGCGCACAAAGCATGCGTCGACCATAGGGTCAGCGCATGAAGGAACAACATTCCAGCGGGTCAGCGCGTAAAGGCATGAGTCGACCATAGGGTCGGCGCATAATGGAAATAGATTTCAACGGGCCAGCGCACGCCGACTATATGGTCGACGCATACTGATGAATTTTCCAGATTTCCAAAACAGCACAGGCCATGCGTCGACGCACAGGCCTGTTATGGTCGACCGTTCACGCGGAAAATCTGTTTTAAAATACTTCCCTCTCATATTTGAAATACTGTTATGTCCAGAATTATGTTGGCACTATATATACTTGTTTAAACACTTGTGTCTACTAAAATTTGATATTCTTTTGATTCATGTGTTCAAAAAAAAAAAAAGAGTGAAATAGGTGTCCAAGATTCATCATCTTCATCTTCAACATCTCACAACATTTCAATTACACACAATCATTTTTGAAATGCATTTGTGAGAGATTCAAGGTGATAAGGTTCGAGGCTTAGATTGGAGAATCAAGCTCGGGTTGAAGATTGTGACAGGTTCTTTCTTGAATAAAACCATTGGGGTTTTACCCTCCAAGATTGGTTCGAATTTTGGGGGTTTTTGGACGATATTCTTCATCAACGGTCAATCGAGCGAAGGTGATTGTGAAGAGGTGGTCTTCACAAGTCTAGTAGCGGATTCAGTGATTTTGAAGGGAAGATCTCGGGTTCGATTTGGTGCTGTTGAGATCAGCCGGAGCCAAAGGTTTGAACAACAACGTGTTATTCAATAAGGTGGTTGGAGTCGGAGGTCCATCAACACAAATCGAAGAACTTGATTCAGCTTGAATCAAGGGGCAAGGAGTGAAGGCAATTTTCAACACATTCAGATTTCTGTTGTATATTTGTTGCTCAATCCTTGTATAAACTGTTCATTCAAACAGGTGATATCTATAAAATATATCTCAATTCTAGTTTTAGAATTGAGGGCAGACGTACCCCGAAGCGAGGACGACGGGGGAACTGCCTCACCAAATTACTTGTCTTCTCTATTTTCAGCATTTACGTTATAGCTCAAAATAAGTAATTTTTGTGTAAGCTCTATTGTCAAAATTGTGATATCAATTGAGTAAGAGGTTAAAACTCTGTTTTTAACTCCAAAGTACAACAAGACATTGTACTAGGCTGGTTGAAATCACTTACTCAACATAAATATCACTTGGAGTGTTGTTGCACACCAAGTGTTTGACATATTGCTTGAACCAAAATTATCTTACTTGTGTATCTAGTTTTGGCTTGATTTTGAATCATTGGAACTAGGAATCCTTACAACTGAAGTAAATAATTGATAAGTGGAATTAGTGTTGTGATTCTATTTTTCCAAATTGTCATTAATCCAAAGGCTTACGTATATCCGGTTTTCCAATAACCGTTCGTTTTAGACTATATTTTTCCTCGGCCGCTTCCGCACTTAAAACATTTTTAAAACCAATTTTAAATTGGTAACGCCGACTCAAATTTTAATTGGGGATCTATTCAACCCCCCCCCCCCCTTCTAGATCCGTGCCATAGTCTAACAAGTGGTATCTAGAGCTCCGGTTATTCGGTGCTTCAAATACAACGTAGATAGTGTTGCACCCCAAATTTGTCCTACCTTTACATAGTTTCTAGTGCCACTTTATTTTGAATGAATAAAATGGCACAATTGGCAAGAGTTGCATTTGATAAATGGAGAAGGAGACAAAAGAAAAAACGGCGGCCGTTCTCACGATTTATCAGAAGCGGGGAGATTTTTGAAAAACCTTCAAGGCTTCATCATCAAGATCAAAGATTCACCACCATCGTCCGATAGAAGCTTCGAATCCGGCCGTTATTCCGTAAGAAATTTATCAAAATTGATTTATGATTTTGTTTTCATGGTTTTTTTTTCAGGGACACATTCAGCGGGAGAGGAACCACACATGCAACACGAAAGAGATGAGAGAAGCATTGGAAAAATGGAGCGAAAAGCTCTTTGGAGCTTTAATGGCTGCCGCGTGGGACAAAGAGAATGAAGAAGATGAGAAACCTCTTATAATAACCAATGATTTGTTTCCCCCTCCCCTTTTAATTAGGTTCCTTTTCTTTTTTTTCTTTATTTTTATTAATTATTAATTATTTTATTATTTTATTAGTTTATGATTTAATAATAGTAATAATTAATATAACATTTTTCTTAATTAATCTTTTTCCTTTAATAAATCTAAAATAAAAACTCTGTTTTTTATTATAAAAAAAACTTTATTTTTTCT